AGAAAGATAAATTAAGTTTGTCTAAATTTTTGTATTATAAAACAGACATTGGGATTGATATAAATTTTATTTTACATGAAACACTACAACAAAATGAATTAGTTAAATTATGTAGCATAAGGGTAAAAATTAAAAGAAACAAAGTACTAAAAAATAATATATAGCTTAAGCTTTTGAAATAAATCATGAGCGAAAGTTCTCTCTGAAGTCTTTTTTTTAGAGATCCATTTAATCTCAATTTATAGTAAAAATGCATATAATTTGGGATCTGAAAATTAACTACATTTGTGCGATTTAGTTAGACAACAGTTTTCAAATATATAAATATATGTTAGTTATGATTTAGTAAAAGCTGAAAGGCTCGGTACTACTAACTGGCGACAGCAAGCAACTAATTGGGCTAGCTGGCGGAGGCTATTCGACGCGTAAGTAAGTAAGTAAAAGCTGAAGATCTTGCAATAAAAAAACGAAAAACATTATTTTAAATAAGGTTAATCATTACAAACAATACAGCAATTTCTTTAAAGGAACCTAGGAAGGGTATTGCTTCTCATTTTGACTTATGATGGTTGAGCATTTTGTGATGACTAAGGCTTCAAGGATCAACCATGATCGCAGTTTTACTGCACTAAAAACCAATGCTCTGTTCATTTCTTGTTTCACTAGAAATATTAATAATAAAAAAATTGATATCTTCTCCATTAAGGATCTTATCTTGTTTTCAAGCACTCTTTTCTTATCTTTTCTTCACCAAGCACGTTTCCGTATACGTATACAGAAACGTGCAATACATGTACATATATATTTTTTGTATAATTATTAGATGCGAATGTGTTTGAGACTTTTAAACACATAGTGGCAGCTTACCTGGCACTGAAGGTAGAGAAGGAAATATCTTATATCAGATGAAATCGAACTTAGAGACGTACTTTAAATGCATGATAGGGGCACAATAGATCTCAAGGTCGCATTACAGAAACCCTCAACTTAAAAATAACAATAATAATAACATAAATATATTATTAATATATAATTGAAAACGCATAAAAAAACATATACCATGGTAAGAAAAGAATATACTATTAAAAATTTTATTTAAGTGTATTGTGTTTCATTGTGTCTCGTTATATCATATTGTAGTCTTTAAACTAAAAAAAAATTTTTCCTTATCTAAAGAACATATCACAAACTAATGAAATGTGAACATTTTGTCTATATACTATTTTTTTTTTCTCTTTTATTATATATTTAATATAAACATTCGTTCGAAATCTGACAATCCTAAATTTAAGTACAAAACTGACTGATTACACATTTTAAATTTGTTTATACTTTTCGAAAAATGAAATATCATTGCAATTGTTTATTTTGAATCAAATTCCAGAATATCTTTCCATTCTATAATCTACACTATGTTTAGTACGAGCTATGAGCGACGAACTCATGATCAATCCAACCATTAAAAAATGTGTGGAAATTAAAAAAGGAACCACGAACGCATTTTCATGAGAACCGAAAACTAAGAAGCACTTGTGAGATACATAACAAAAAAAAAATTTTTTGGTCAATCACGTTCCTAAATTTCTAGTTTTTAAGTTCTTCAATAATTTTTCTGTTTAATGTTTGTATTAAAAAAAAAAAAAGTAAAATATTTGTGCTTCAATGTTTTTGAAAAATGATTTGTAGTTTTTCATTTTTCTAACTACGCTGCCGCGGTACAGTAAAAATAAATAATAGCGTTTGTATGTATGAAGTAAATGTAAATTTGAGATACTTACAAATACAATATATTACTTAAGAGTTTTTTTTTCACTTTTTTTTTAAACTATGATTTTTGATTATAATTTAAGCATCGAGTTCATTGCTTTTCTAATTCGATTTTGAAATGCAAAAGCACTCTCAGACCACAATCAAAACTCAGTTGTGTGCATTCTAAAGTGGTTTGGGATTTATTCTTCGATTTAATGTATTCCTGGTACAAAAGATTCATACGGCATAAGTAAAAGCATTATTACTATTGTGTTCGTTTTATTTAATTTTTTCCTTTTTTTCTTCATTTCAGTTTCAAACTTCAAAAAGTGGTTGTTAATGCCATGGCTCTAAAAATAATCACGTTTTAGATTTTAGTTTAAATAATTTTATAATTTTGATGTATGTATGTATGCATATCTTTACAATCAGTCAGTCATGTGTCAACATTAAATGCTTGGAAAGTTCTCTAAACGTCTTTTTGAATTTTGACTATATTGACTATGTAATAAAAAAATTACACATTATATAAAGTAACTATATCAGTTACTAATAAGATATATCGTAAGTAATATGTTATATCGTTTTATTAGTTGAAAACTTGTATCTATACCTAATTATAGACTAAGGCACCGGAAATTGAAAGAGCTCTATTGAATAATATAATTTGGGATATATAGTAATAATAACGGCCACCTGAATATGCATCGAATCATAAGCTCATACAATAGATATTTTTATTTTTCTACTCTATGAGCTTAAACTCAAAGAAAACAGTTTCAATATATTGTCTAAAGTTAGGGTTGAATTGTCTCACACGTTATAATAAAATGAAAATAAATAAATTGTAAATCAGGGATGGCATTCAAAACTTAACGAGTAGTTATTCACAGCACGATGATATTAAAGTGGAAACAAAATTCATAGCTAAATACTGTATTATACATCCTTTCTGTCTCCCATATAGTATGCTCTTGTAGTTGTTGTGTACCTTAATGATGATAACCTTATATATTATATGATTACTGATGACCTTATATATGATGATTACTTTCTTCAACTGCGAAAGATGGGGTGAAGAAAGAACACTACTTGCAGGATATATCGGTCACTTTGCAGTCGATAATATTGTAGAAAAAATGATAGAACGAGCAGAAAATTGGAAAAAAATCACGCAATTCATCGGAAATGTTTTAAGGGAAAAGAAAAAAGATCTGGACGCAATCTAATCTTAAACGAAGAGCAGGAGTGAGAGCCGGAACACATACTCTGAGATTGAAAAAAGTAGACTGTAGGGCAAGATTAATTATCTGCAACAGTAGCGGGGCCTGGACGCAGGGCACACCGATGGAAGTCTTAAATGACTAATAGGGACCCTACTTCGAAGTAATACTAACGTAGTCCCGGGATAGAACAACGTCTCTAGGAATAAGGGGGTTTAAAGTTACGCAAAGGGTTCAATATCTACAACTAATATTTGAATCGATATAAAGTATATCGTTGGTATAAAGTACACTACTCGTCGGACTTAATGAATGTTTTCTTTGCATAGCCTATTCGTTAAATGGATAAAAGTTGGCTGACGATGATTGTCAGTGTAAGAGAGTTTTTACTGTAGTTTACTGTAGTATACTGTATGATGTTTTGAAAATAAATCATTGGGTTAAGAAAATATTAAATCTTATTTAATATAGGCTCTTCTGTACCATCTGTACCGTAGCACATATAGCAATTAAGTATGTGATGTCAAAATTTTACGGAAATAATTTTCTTTTTGTTTGCAATCTATTACTATAAAAAAAAAAGATATTTCCTTTAAAAGTTTACTTCAGCAATAATATGAAAATAAATGATATATCTATTTATTATTTTCTATTTTCTCTGTTCTTAATTTTAGTATAATTATTACAACATTTGTGTGGAAATTAAAGCATTCAAATTTATCATTACTCTAGCAAATTTTGAGAATACAAACTTTTACCAATTCTTCTTCTTGTCAGTTATAATAAATGTTTCTAAAACCACAAAAATATAACTTTTTGTAAGTTCAATAAACTTTTGGCTGAAGTTCTACAAATACAGCAAAGAGCTTAAGCAATGCAATCAATCTTCAATTTGAAAAATTAATACTTCGTAATAAGAGTAATACGAGTACTTGAAAACTTTTACTGGTACTGGTACGAAAAGTCATACAAATTTAATAACTCGAAGCGTTTCTTTCAGATACTCGTACAAAAGCGACGAGTTTTATTGACGAGTATTAAATGAAACGTACAATCTTTTTGGCTCTTTGATGCCTTTAAGTGCCTCAAAAACAAATCATGACTTGATGCGATTATAAAAGGCACAAAAATTTATTTAAAATTATACCAAAATCAGAAGAAAAAAATTATTTTATATGTGAAAAAAATTAAAAATGCTTAAATAGAAATTAAACAATAAACAAACTGAAAGTACAAATACTCAAATACTCACTCGCCTCTTGCACGTATTCATTTGAATATCGTCTTAGAATTTAGATACTTTAAATGGTAACACATTTAAATAAAAAGGTTAAAATTTCTTTACAAAATTAGAAATGAAAAAAAAAACACTATTTTCGTATATAAATAAATAACCCAAAAAATGACTAATGAAATTACTACGCTTCGAACGTACACATAGATATAGATATATACCAAACAATCAAAAAAAAAAACAAAATACCAGAATTAAAAAATCTTAAATAAAAGTAACCCACATCAATTTTTTGTCTATTTTTCTTCATTACTTTGATGCGATATAAACAATTACCGCATGTATCCATGTATGTGCGTAAGTATCTTATATCTGAATATTTGATATGTAAGCTTAGTAGGCAAATGTACGCATACATTTTACTTTTTGAGTAGCAATTGTTTTCATATTGTTTTTTTTTTCTTTATTTTTTTTTATATTTTTTAAATTAAGTTTTTACGATATTTAATACATTTTCATATATCTTTAATTTTTGAATTTTTTAATCGATGTGGCTTTTAAGAATTTTTAAAGAACTTCGAATCAATTGTTCAATTTTAGATACAATATCTTTCTTATTTTCTTTCTGTTGTTATGTGCATAGATATGTGTTTGTCTGTTATTATTGTTGTTGTCATATCAAAATGATTATAA